AGCTGCATGTCAGAGTCTCGTCGCCAACACGGCGCAGGATCTTGCTCGTATTAATTTGGAGCGCGTTTTAAAAGGCGGGGAAGATTGTCAGTTGAATACGACAGGGAGCACGTTTGATGACGCTAGCAACATTTCCTTGAACAATCATTCGATGCGGGTTGCAGCGGCAAAGGGTCCGTTCCCGAAATTTAAGGGCGCCCGGGTAGCTGAGTTACGTACCGCGCTAAAACGTGCGAATGAGTTGGGACTGAATGGGCAGTTGATACAGGATGGTGAGGCAGTTCTTCGCTCTGTTGAGGCGCTCAAGTTGAAGGTGCACTTTGACGCACAATTGCGCGTGGTGTTGATAGCAAACCCAGAAAACGCCACCTTTGATGAGATCTACAAGAAAGTCTCTGAACTCTGTAGCCGACAAGAGGGCGGCGGGGCGTCAAACTCAGCCGGGAGAAAACTGCGGTTGCGCTACCAAGATAGCGACGGTGACTGCATTTCTCTTCTCACGCAGGAGGACTGGGACGTGTTTGTGGGAGAAGAGGCTCCTAATGGCGTTTGTGGTGCGAAGCTTGAATTGTACTGCGACTACATGCAACTTCCACATGCGCACGTCACAGACACATTGATAGAAACGCAGCCTGCCGTTGAAGAGGCACTGAGTTCCCCTGAGAAAGTGGCAGTGAAGGCGCGTGTGCAGACGTGTATTAAAGAAACAAATCCTCGATCTGCACGTGCTACCCCACAACGTCGGAATGTGGCAAACAATGGTACGAGGTTTTTTCGTTCCCGTAGTGCGGCGGTGGGGCTGCGTCATTCTGAATTTTTATTCCGGTACAGGACGCCACAGCGGACGAATTTCCATGAATCGCGTGTGCAGAAACCGCATAAATTGCTGGATGCGGTGGCAGAGCGAGAGGATGCTGTAAACGTGGCGTCAATAGGAGAGCCGTCTCAAACGACTGGACAGGAACGTGGCGGGGCGCCGGCAAAGGATGCCCTTCCCGGCACAAAACCGGGGCTGAGTGGGCGGAGCCGTGTAAATTCCCTGAGACTTAACTCCTCATTATCGTCATTAACAAACAAACCGAAGCTTTTGATCCCAATTTACCAAGAAAAGAGAAGTCGGATGTTAACAAAGGCTGCCGTGACCGCCTCGTCCGTCGCTGGAAATTGCGGGGGTGGTGGTGATACTACCGCTTCTACTTATGCTACCACCTCTACCAATCAAATCACTCCCGTATCCACGCCCACGCCTACCGCTACTTCCAGCGTCGTCACGATGCCAGCCAACACAAATGACCATAAAAACAATGAGGCCACGGCTGCTGTGAATACGGCGCCGTCTGCTTCGCCGCCCATAGAACTGGAGACGGTTAAGAAATGGAATGATGACGATGCTCCGCTTGAGTTGCGGACAGTGGTTTCCACGGCGTCTACTTCAAAACGTGCTGTGATCAGTGTCAAGGGTGGGGAGAATTCCGTCAAGCAACTTGCAAAGAAACGCCTCGGTGGAGGATTTACAGTGACCCCCTGTTCAAAGGGCATTGGTAACTCTTCAAAGGCGGTGGGGACGGATGGTGTACCTAATAGCAACACCCCGAATACCGCCGGTATCACTGTTTTGGAGGAAAAGCGTGAGTGGAGTGCTGAAATGTTTATGCGAAGCGATATTTGCACGGTAGTGAGTGAGCAGACGAACCAACCGCCATCTGTTACAAATTGTGTAGGGAGGCAAAAGCCGACAAACGTGACACCTCTTATCAACGCAACGCATGTCGATCCAGCAATTGTACCGCCTTCAAATGCTAGCAGCGTGAAGAAGAAGGCGGAGGTACTGCAGCAGCTACGGCACCTACGTGAGGAAAACCAAAAGGCACTCAAAGCTGCTCTAAATAAAAGAAGAACAGGAAAATAATTTTACATCTCTCAAAGTGCTTTTTTTTTTTGTTTGTTACAATTTTGAGAATTTCTTTTTCTCTTTGCCACTCACTTTCTGTGTGATGTGCAGTTTAGGTGTGGAGGGAGGAAATGGATATATTATTACCCCCGAAATGGGTTTAGATACTAGATCTTCACCGGCCTAATTAACCGTACGCGCTTGTACTCCCCTGTTACATTTTTCTGCCGGCGCTTACCTCTTGTCTTCTTCCTTGAATTTCTTTTTTTTTTTTTTTTTTTTTGCGTGTATTTTTTTCTGCAGGCCTGTTTCTTTTGATATTTTGTCCTCTTAGTGTGCATGCGTGTCTGGTACAAAAAAAAATTGCTTTTGAATCACACATTGAGAAGGGAATGGAACGGGCGGTGCTTTATTTCGTTTTGACTGCGGATTTACTCCGGCTATTTGTTTGTTTGTGGGTTTTTTGTCTTTCCCTTTTTTTTTCTTTTTTTTTTTTCTTTTTTTTTTTTGGCGGCTCTCGGATTTCCGAGGGTGTGTTGAATTGTCTTCTGACTGCGCCACGCGTCATTGCAGAAGGACGAACATTCGTGACGGCAATTAAAAAAGGGGATCAACCACACCAACAAAGAATAACGAGGAGGAATACACATATTATATTATATATATACATACATACCACCGGCAGGGGAAGGAGCGGCATCAAATTGATAGCCGAATCAAAATCCGCAGCATGTCTTGTCTCACACCCGAAGCCACTGACGCAATTCGTCAAATGCGTGAGATGCGTGTCGCGGATGAGTCGACGGTGCGGCTGATGGAGCATCTTTTTAGCTGCCCGCCCACCAGCGATTTGCTTCACTCGCTTCTTGACGGAAAACACCAGGCGGTGGCGGTGGCACTCTTTAAAACAACGCAAGGGATTCATTCGAGTAAAATTCTTGGCTTTTTACTGCGCTTCTTTGCGGATCTTGTGTTGTACTGTGGCGCGCTGGGGGAGCAACTTGGTGCGCCCTCCGCCGAGGAATTGTTTGGAGATAATCCAGCCAAGTCCTTCCTTTACCTCGTGATGATTCATCGTGAGGAGTATGGCATTACAGACCCCGCCTTGTTCCTTGCTGCAACCTCGCTAAGATACGGTCCGATTGAGAAAAATGAGGAGTCTTTGCGGCGATTTTTTGCACATGTCACTGATGTGCTCTCGGCGGAGACATTACAGGTGTCCGCTGTGGCCTTTGCGGTGCAGGGCTGTTCTATTGTGGCGCGCACGAAGGCACTTCGTAGATGGTTTTTCGAGGAGCAGATAGTGCAGTTTCTACCACGACTTCTCTTTGATATCGTTGCAAATGACTCGGCAAGTATCGTTCAACTCATTTATGAGACATTACTGGTGTCATGGTTACTCTCGTACGAGTATCGGGGTGTTGTGGAGTTGCAGAAGCATAAGATGATTCCACATGTTCATCGTGTCTTGCATCGCATGCTGAAGGAGAAATGTGTCCGGGTGGCGTTGATGGTCCTTTGGAACATGGTGGAGGCGGAGCGGCAATATATCACCCTCATATCGAACCCTTCTACGACGGATTGGGTAAACAGCGACATCTATGAGCTTGGTCGCGCCAACGCCGGTAAAGGACCCAACTTTATTGCGGAAATGGTTGGTGTGGGCATGCTAAAGACACTTGCACAACTCTCCCGCCGCAAATTTGGGGACGAGGATATCAGCGTAGTCATCAATGAGCTAAAAAATGTGCTTGAGCATAGCATGGAAAAACTCACAAGCTTTTCAGAGTATCGTGGTGAAGTGCTTAGCGGAGAGATGGAGTGGACACCGGTGCACACCAGCAATAAGTTCTGGAAGGAAAACGTCATGCAGTTTGAGAACAACGACTACGAGGTATTGGTGGCACTTGGAAATACCATCATGACAACACACCAGGATCTTACCCTCGCCGTGGCCTGCTACGATCTTGGAGAGGTTGTCCGCCACCACCCGACCGGAAAGTCGCTGTTGCTACTTCCACGCATGGAGGGTGTAAAGAGTCGTGTCATGGCCCTGATGTCACACCCTAACCCAGAGGTCGCCAAAAACGCTCTTCTCGCGGTGCAGAAGATTATGGTGCAGCGGTGGGAGTATATTCAGGAACAGCAGCAGTAATAGCAGTAGCAGAGCATTAGGGGAGGGGGGAAAACAATAATGTGCACCTTTTGTTGTTGTTGTTTTTTGTGACTGGTGTGTGTGTGTGTGTGTGTGTGTGTGTGTATTTTGGGTGATTGCATTCTCCTCCTACTGCCACTTTATTTGTTTGGTTTTTGTGACAGACGCGAAGCAAAAGAGGAGCGGTGAGAATTAAAAGCGAAACAGTGTAAAGAGAGAAACAATGAAAGGCGAGGTCCGCATCAGTTTTATATACATTTATTTAGCCGCTTTGGTGTCGGAAACACTGTGGAAGAGAAGTATGGAAGAAGGGGTTCATTTTTTATCCCTCGACTCTTGTTTGAGAGAAATGTGTCATGTACTTTAGGATTTATGCTTCCACTCGCTATTTTTGTTGTTTTTGTTGTTGTTGTTGTTGTTGTTTTTATTATTAATTATTAATTATTTTCCGTTTTGTCATTCTTTTATGCATTAATCCAATAAAATCATACTTATATATTAGGGAGAGTGTGTGACGAGAAAATAAAAAGGGGAAAAAAAGAGGTGTTTTTTAAAGGAGACGTCTTTAGAGATGTCGTCATGGCAGGCGGCAATCTCAATCGGGCCCGCAATTGCAGCACCGACAACGTCAAGGCCCAAGGCGACTGACGACGTCATGGTGCGTTCCGTTGAAGTATTTTTGTGAATGTGGCGGTGAATTGCACCCTTCGTGCACCCGGCTCCCCACCACAGAAGCACGGGGCTCACGTGCTCCCTTCCCTCTGCAGCCCTTCCTTTTCCCCTACTTTGTTTTTCCTTCACGCTGGAGGCCTTTTTTCCTTGTTGCCATCCCCGCTTGGCGTTTACCGTGTTTCTTGTTAAGTGGACAGTGTTCCCGTGAACATGCCGCGCGTGACGGCACCCCAGTGCGCTTAACGGGGAGGTGCGAGAGGTGCCTATGCGCAGTGCACGATAACCGCGGGTTGCACCGTTGTGGAGCACAAACATTCATTGCACCAACGGCGGACTTGCCCTCGGGAGACTGACATGGCACACGCACATACACAAAAACACCTCAGTATTACAGGCTTCTTGGAGCTCATAAAGCATTGATGTTGCTTAAGGTGAAATTACCGCAGTTTTATTTGTTTTGTGGGTATTGTGACAGTTGTTCCCAAAGAAATGGAAGTGGATGATGCGTGGGGCAGCTGGTTTGTGCAAATTGCGTGTTTTCTTTGTTGTTGTTGTTCTTTTTCTTTCTACTATCTTCACGGATGAAATTAGCTCTACTTTTCCGTGTGCATTTTTGACAGTTATGAGGGTTGCAGGCAGAGGCGCGGTGCCCGCGTCGGAGCTGACGGCGGGTACTCGAATGGTGATACGCGACATTGAGGTGGAGAACTTCAAGTCCTACGCCGGTAAACATCGCATTGGGCCTTTTCACAAAACCTTTACGGCTGTTATTGGTCCAAATGGTTCAGGCAAATCAAATGTGATTGATGCCATGTTGTTTGTTTTTGGCAGGAACGCCAAGAAGATCCGCTTGGAGAAGCTCTCGGAACTCATTCACAGCTCTGCCGCCCACCCCAATCAGGCGTATGCCTCCGTGACGGTGCACTTTGTGCGCCTTGCAGAGACACCAGAAAATGAAGGGGATCCGGAATACCGTCAAGAGGTACCCGAAAGCCTCCTCTCCATCAAGCGTGAGGTATACAAGAGCGGTTCCTCGCAGTACTTCATTGACGGGGTAAAAACAACGCAACGGGAAGTGGTTGAGAAACTCATTGCGGAGGGGGTGGACCTGGAGCACAACCGCTTCCTCATCCTGCAGGGCGAGGTGGAGCAGATTGCCCTCATGAAGCCCAAGTCGGAGCGCGAGGGCGAGGAGGGTCTGCTTGAATACCTCGACGACTGATCGCA